TCACATCTGTAATCCCAGCACTTTGGGAGGCTGAGGCGGATGGATCACCTGAGGTCAGGAGTTCAAGACCAGCCTGGTCAACATGGTGAAATCCCGTCTCTACTAAAAATACAAAAAATTAGCCGAGTGTGGTAGTGCATGCCTGTAGTCCCAGCTACTCAGGAGGCTGAGGCATGAGAATCGTTTGAACCTGTGAGGCAGAGGTTGCAGTGAGCTGAGATCGTGCCATTGCACTCCGGCCTGGGAGACAGAGCAAGACTCTGTCTCAAAAGAAAAAAAAAAAAAAGAAAAAGAAAAGAAAGAAAAAAAAGAGAGTGAACAATCTGATCTTTACTATTTATATATGAAATACAAACAGGAATTTAGTTAGCCTCAGGCTTCCAGATTTTTATTTTTATTTTTGAGACAGAGTCTCCCTCTGTCTCCCAGGCTGGAGTGCAGTGGCATGATCTTGGCTCATAGCAACCTCTGCCTCCTGGGTTCAAGCAATTCTTGTGCCTCAGCCTCCCAACTTAGCTGGGATTACAGGCGTACACTACCACGCCCAGCTAGTTTTTGTAATTTTAGTAGAAACAGGGTTTCACCATGTTGGCCAGGCTGGTCTCGAACTCCTGGCCTCAAGCAATCCACCCACCTCGGCCTCTCAAAGTGCTGAGATTACAGGTGTGGGCCACTGTGCCCAGCTATTTTTTTTTTTTTTTTTAAGCGACAAGGTCTCATTCTGTCTTCCAGGCTAGAGTGTGGTGGCGTGACCATAGTTCATTGCAGCCTCAAACTCCTGGGCTCCAGAGATCCTCCTGCCTCAGCCTCCTGAGTAGCTAGGATTACAGGCACATACCACATGCCCAGCTAATTAAAAAAATTTTTTTTGTAGCAATGGGGGTCTCCTTGTGTTGTTCAGGCTGGTCTTGAACTCCTGGGCTCAAGCGATCCTCTTGCCTCAGCGTCCCACAGTGCTAGGATTACCGCACTGGGCCTCAGATCTTGATTATAGGCTGATTAATAACCAAGCCCATAAAGCCCCAGGAAAAACAAAGCAAAACAAAAAAACAAAAAAATAAAACCAGCAAAAAGGCCAGGCATGGTGGCTCATGCCTATAATCCCAGCGCTTTGGGAGGCTGAGGCAGGCAGATCGCTTGAGCCCAGGAGTTGGAGGTAAGCCTGGGCAATATGGCAAAGCTCCAACTCTACAAAAAAACACAAAAAATTAGCTAGGTGTGGTGGTGCAGGCCTGTAGTCCCAGCTACTCAGGAGACTGAGGCAGGAGGATGGCTTGAGCCCAGGAGGCAGAGGTTGCAGTGAGCTGAGATCACACCACTGCACTCCAGCCCGGGCAACAGAGCCAGACTCTGTCTCAAAAAAATTTTAAAAACCAAACAAGCAAAAAGGCCTTAGATAGCCAGGTATGGTCGCCTGTAGTCCCAGCTACTCACAGGGTTGAGGTGGGAGGATCACTTGAACCCAGGAATTATAGACCAACCTGGGCAACACAGCAAGCCCTGTTTCTGGAAAAAAAAAAAAAAAGAAAAAGGAAGGCCTTGAATAAGGCTTTCCCAAAAATTTAGCACTTCAAACTCTTTTAAAAAGCTTTTGGCCCGGCGCAGTGGCTCAAGCCTGTAATCCCAGCACTTTGGGAGGCCGAGACGGGCAGATCACGAGGTCAGGAGATCGAGACCATCCTGGCTAACTCGGTGAAACCCCGTCTCTACTAAAAAATACAAAAAATAAGCCGGGCGAGGTGGCGGGCGCCTGTAGTCCCAGCTACTCGGGAGGCTGAGGCAGGAGAATGGCGTAAACCCGGGAGGCAGAGCTTGCAGTAAGCTGAGATCCGGCCACTGCACTCCAGCCTGGGCGACAGAGCGAGACTCTGTCTCAAAAAAAAAAAAAACAACAAAACTTTTATCACATCTCAAAATATACCATTCATCCAAGAAGTAAAATATTCTGCCTTGGAGGAGCTCAAATTTCATATAAGCCTCTCATTAATTCTCCTCGGTACCTCTGTGAGGAGGTACTGACCCGCATTCAAGGTCAAAGAAAGTTTCTGTGCCAAGAAAGGAGTGCCCTGATCAAGGCCTTAGTTGACTAAAGGTGAGCTCAAAATGCTCCAGCCCATATCCCAGCCCTGCCTTTCACCTCAGCCCAGTTCCCCTCAAGAAAGAGCGTTTCTGTTAAAGCCCAGCCCTGTTGTTTATTATAGCTTGTATTTAGGGAAACACACTAACATTTGTTTCCTGACAGTAAAGTCTTAAGTTCTCTACCAATGGGAAAACTTACGGGGGTGGCAGGGGTGAATGAAAGCGGAAAATTTCCAAAAACTTTTGGCCTACTTAACTGCCCTGACAGCACATAGTTATTTTGTTTGGGAAAGGAGGGGGTGGACTGTTTCTTTCCAAAGGAATCACAATTAGTTGGTCACCTCAAATATTATCAAAGAGATCTGGAAAATAGTTACTTTTCTAAATTTTTTAATGTGGTCAAGACATCTGAATATTACAGGCTCCTGCAAAGCCCCTTAAAAATCACTATCATAATCTCTACCACTCAGCAAGAACACAGGGAGAGAAAACTACTCTGGCCTTTTACACACTTCGGGGCTTCTTTTACAGAGAATGACTTCACTGATCTGATTGGAAGTCCCGTTTCCCCAGGTCTCACCCTGGATTTGTCCTCCTTTGAGTGCTGCACTGGTTTCTATATTTACGCACAAACCAGCTGTGGCCATTTTCCTTCACAATTTCCAAACCTGCCTTTTACTGTACAGGATCCCTGGAGGTCCAATTCTGTTTTCTGGAGTCAAAGAAATACAAAATAAATTTCACTACCTCCTAGAAAACAGACGCTGGTAAGTTTCAATATAAAATAGAGAGTTCTTGAACCCAGGAGGCAAAGGTTGCAGTGAGCCGAGATCTCAACACTGCACTCCAGCCTGGGCGACAGAGCAAGACCCTGTCTCAAAAATAAACAAATAAATAAAATAAAATAGACAGCTGTGTATTTTTTTGGTCATAGCACCAATAAATTTCAGGGCTGGGAAAAATCATAACTTACCAAAGCATTCTTTTTCATATAACCAAAATATATTTTTCCTGTTGCTCATGAAATTAAGACAAAATGGCTAACAGGCAGCCTTACACTGAGAAACTCAAAGCTGGTAGGAAAGGACTAGAGATTTTTTTTTTTTTTTGAGACAGTCTCGCTCTGTTGCCCAGGCTGGAGTGCAGTGGCGCAGTCTCGGCTCACTGCCCGCTCTGCCTCCCGGGTTCACGCCATTCTCCTGCCTCAGCCTCCTGTGTAGCTGGGACTACAGGCGCCCGCCACCACGCCCGGCTTATTTTTTGTATTTTTAGTAGAGACGGGGTTTCACCGCGTTAGTCAGGATGGTCTCGATCTCCTGACCTCGTGATCCGCCCGCTTTGGCCTCCCAAGGTGCTGGGATTACAGGCGTGAGCCACCGCGCCCGGCCAGGACTAGAGATCTTTGATCTACAATTAATAAATAGTATGGGACTCCTTTCAGCTCACCCAGCGCCCCATATGAATGTTTTCAATGCTGGTTCTCCTTTAATAACTTCCCCCTATTAAATCTCTCACCAGTCATTTGGGGTTTGGATTTCACGTAGGTATAAGAGGTGTTTGTAAGACACTCTGAAACCTCTGAAGGGCAAAGTGTTGTGGACGCTATAACCTCCCTGCATACTGAGGGGGGCATAGCTCTCAACCAGTCATTAAATCCAGTCAAATGAGATACTCGAAAATGAGCTGCCCTTGGCTGGGTCCTTTCATAAGAAGGAATTCAGAAAAAAAAAAAAAAAAAAATCAGCTAACATGATTACCCCACAAAGTTTACATGTATCATATTGTATAAATCTATAAATATGTACAATTATTTTTTGTTAAATTTTCAAAGATCTGCCAACAACGGCTGGAGAAGGCACCTGGCTGCCTGAGCCCCTACTCTTGTCGGTTACAAGTATTTCATAAGCAGGGTTCGAGGCATCCCATCAGAGAAGAGTGTTGTCACCTTTCTGCCGGAATGTCACACCAACTTCCTCAGTGTTGCCCTCACACCAACTTCCTCAGTATTCCCCCTACCCCAATCTAGCCAACGTTTCAATGGCTCCCCACAGCACACAGTGCCTCTCAGCTGGGCACTCAAGGGTGCTTTCCTAACCCTCACTAACCTAATTCTCCAAAGTTTTTTTCCCCCCAAAACAGCCCAGCAGACGGTCCAGTTAGTCCCCAAATCGTTTTTCCTCATGGTCTCCTTCCCCAGGGGTCCTCCCCTCCTTCTCTCCCCCCTGCAACCTCCACTGCTACCGGGAGATTAGTTCCCACCCGTCAGGACCCCGCTCAGATTTCACTTCCTCCAACAGGTCGGCTCAGATCCCAATCCACGGCTCTCAACAGCAGCCGGGATTCCTTTCCCCCGCAACGCCTTCTCTGAACACCCCGGCCTCCGAGGGCCGGCTTCGTGTCCCCTAGTTACTTCCAGTCACTAGTTACTTCCGCTCCGCTCCCACCCGCGGGACTCGCGACCGGCCCCCTGCCCCCGGCTGGCCCAGCTCGGAACACACAGAGCAGCGCTTCAGAAATCGCAGCCCAAGGCAAGGAAATCCAGAAGCCTCCCGCGGACGTCCCCCGGGACGGGGTGTGGCAAGCCCCGCTCCGAGCCCGCCGACTCCTCGTGAGACTAGAACCGCAGCGACGCGGAGCCCCTGTGAGTCTACCGCCGGGACGCGCGGCGCGGCGACCAGGAGCCTCAGAGTAGCCGCGGGGCGCCAGGAGGGATCCAGCTGGCGGCAGCCGTTTCCCTGCCTCCCTGCCCCTCCCCAGGGGCTGCGCGAACCCCTGCCTGAAACCGGCCCACCTGGGTGCCCGCCAGTTCTCAGGGCGCTCTCCCGGGAGCCCGGGTACGCGCACATCCCGGGACGCACCCTGTCCGCGCCTGATCCCCGCCCTGGTCCCAGCTGGGTCGGGCCAGGTTCGCCACACCTCACCTCTCCTCTCCACGAACCGACTGGATAACGGTCGGGTCTGGACCTGAAGAGCCCGGACCAGCCCGCAGTAGACTCGCCGCACCTGTCTGGGAGCGAGTGAGCAGCAGCTCGGCGCCTGACGTCACGGCCGCCCCCAGTGCCGCGAACCGGGAGTCACCTGATCACCCTGGCAACGCGCGCGGGGCGGGGCGAGGCGAGGCGGGCGTCACAGCACGAGCCCCGCCTCCAACTGCTCAGCCTCCAAGTGCCGCCGGAAGCGCTGTGCTGCAGTCGGCGCCACCGGGACGTGAGGTCGCTCCGTGGCTTCCCAACGCGGGCCTCCCAGCTGCGATGGATACTTGGAACTCCCCCAGGCGTCCCCCTCAGGTTGGATAGGTTCTCCGAGACTCCACCCGATACCCCAACTCCGCTAGTTCAGGCGTCTGGGAGGCAAGACCAGCGTCCATGTGGGACCCTGCTCAGTGCGTGGCATGAGGGGTTGGCAGTGGGCTGCTGCCTCCTCGTGTCTTGTTGGTCCAGACCCATCTTGGTTTGGAGGCTTACTTCCCGAGCTGTACCTCAGAGGAATGGGGCTGAGGCTTATAACTGGATTGCTCTCTGGCTACTTTTCCCCATAATCCTTGCAACAAGTAGTCCCGCCAGTACTTTAGAGTGTAATGAGAGTTCATTCACAATAGGAGGGGGAAGGGGGACAGAACCTTCTGTCCTGAAGGTTTCCTTCTTCTATTCCAACATGAAGAGAAGTTACCGAAAAGCTCCCAGAGCAAGGCCTAGAACGAGCTTGCAAGTCCTACTTGCAAACAAATTTTTATTTCTTATTTTAGAAATTGATTTTCTCTCCAGATTCCTCCCCTTGCTTGCTATTAGGTTGGTGCAAAAGTAATTGTGGTTTTTGCATTTTTTTAATGGCAAAAACAGCAATTACTTTTGCACCACTCTAATATAATGATATGCCTACAACCTTTGTTACTCTCTAGGCTTCCCAGATAGACCATCAGCTTCGAAATGAAAATTTAACATCCCCAGGAGGTCTCAGTGTGAGAGTCACTGCCTATTTCACACCTTCACTACTTGCTGACTTTCATCTCAGTTTTACTCTTCTCATCCCTGCACTGCCAAGAAGGTTTCATATATATTGAAACCTTCCCTCTCAGAGTGTAGGATCTTAGACCAAGAAATTAGTTTATAATCAACTTCTTGTAAGTATCTTTTAATGTCAGGCAATGGGCCATGGGCAGATTGATTGCGATGTGGTCCTCGAAGATCAAACGTGTATGGGTGGTATGTCTCACATTCAAGTACAACTTGTACTGTTTATTATGACTTAATCGTTGTATTTAAGTGGCACTTTTTTATTTCCATACTTAAAAAAATAAATGCATATAAGTGGGAAAGAAGACAGCTGTGAAAGGTAGAGAAGAATCATGGCTCTAGACAGAACTGTACTAATAGGAGAGAAGAGATTGAAAATGTGAGCCCAGCTCCCAAGGAGCACAGAAGCATGGTCAGGAGGTTTGGTGGGAACAGGACAGAGGCAGCCAGGCCTGAGGTGTTTGGCAGATCTGAGAAGGGCAGGGATAGAGGGTGAGGGGAGGAGTTGGGTCAGAATGAGGCTTGAGGGATTCAATGGAAGGTGAAAGTGCTGGGAAGGGAGGAGGGATTGGAAAGAAAGGAGAAGTCAGCAGTGGTTTGGGAAGGAGTTGCTGAAAGGGAAGGCAGGGTAAATAGAGACCCAGGAAAGGGTGCAAAGAGCATTAAGAGAAGGGAGGCTGAGAGTCTACAAAAGGGAGGACTGAGAGGGAGGAAGAAGCAGGTGGGAGACTCTGGGGCAGCAAACATCTCAGAAACAGGCAGTAGGTGGTGTCCTTCAGAGGCTGTTGGAGAGGAGCAGTATTGTCTCTTCACCTCTAAAGAGTGAAGGTCATCCATGCACACCCCAAACTATCTTTGGACCATCTGAGGGCAAGAGCCACCCTTTGCAGAGAACTAATGCAGAGGGAAGAGCAGAAATAGGCATGTCCATAACTACACCCTGATAGGACTCATCAAGACAGTCAGGCTTTTTGGCTGGACGGTTTTTCAGGCCTGTGGTACATGCCTCTGTGCCTCTAATCTGGGCAGGGCAAGGTGAGGATGAAGTGGAAGGTAGGGGTAATTCCCTTAGAAGGGAGGCGAGCTTCTCATGGCAGCTGGGTCATATGGAGGCTGTGCTGGGGGAGAAAAGATGCTAGGACACATTCTCAGTAAGGTCCCTGACCACTACTCCCCTTTTACTGAGTTGGTAGGGTGAGGGCATAACCATCGAAGGAAAAATAGAACATTCCTCACCCCCACCTCCATATCCACGCTGAGGAAAGTGTTAACACGTGGGTAAAAACTCAAAGAGTGTTGCTGACAGCATTCAAGAACAGAGATGAGGCCAAGGAACGCATCTCACATGGCTCTTTTCTATGATTTTGACCTCAGGTCCCAGGACTAAGCAGCAGGTCAGATGTAGAAGTTGCTGGAGTTTCATCAGGTTTCTTCACAACAGCAGTGTGGGTTTCCATTCCTGGAAATAAAAGAAAAATGTCAGGGTACAAGGTCCTGGCCAAGCATATTTGCTGTGAAAGTCCATTAGTCACAGAAGTTACAATGAATTTTCAGTATTTGTTCATTTGGGAGAACTGTCCAAGGACTGTGGAGGCAATGTGGAGGCAACGTGGTGCAGTGATTGGGAGCCTGTGTTCTGAGATTTATCCATTTTGTGAACTTGGCCAAGTTACTCAGCTTTTTTGAGTCTCTGCCTAATCTGTAAAATAGAGATGATAATATCTACCTCACAAGACTATCATAAACTTTAGGTGAATTCCAGGGCAAAGAAAGAGAACCCAGATTCATAAGGGTTTGTAAAGGGCCATTTTTTAAACCATTGTATTTAAACCAGAGAACAAGAACACTTGTTCTCTGAACAATTGGATGAAAGAATGTTTCTTGGATGCCTAATGTACTCTCAAGACTGATGGATACAGAAGGAGTATGTGCCCTGGCTTGGTCAGGCATCCGATTTCCGATGGGAAGATAAGACAGTGTGAGACCTTGCCAGGCTGCTGTGAAATTGAATAAACTATGTCATGTCCTTCCGTGCCCGCAGCGTTCATGGAAAGAGGGGCCATGCTAGCTGCATTGGCTAAGGTGGGATACATGAAAGGAAGGGTTTGGAGCAGAGCCTTGAAAGATAGGCAGGATTGGCCAGGCACGGTGGCTCACGCCTGTAATCCCAGCACTTTGGAAGGCCGGGTGGATCACTTGAGGTCAGGAGTTGGAGACCAGCCTAGCCAACATGGTGAAACCCCATCTCTACTAAAAGTACAAAAATTAGTTGGGCATTATGGCGCATGCCTGTAATCCCAGCTGCTCAGGAGGCTGAGGCAGAGGAATCACTGGAATCCAGGAGGCAGAGGTTGCAGTGAGCCAAGATTGTGCCACTGCACTCCAGCCTGGGCAACAGAGTGAGACTCCATCACAGAAAAACAAAACAAAACAAAAAAACAACAAAAACAAAAAAGATGGGATTTGGAGAGGTGGTAGGTGAAGAAAGCATTCTGGGTCAGGGCAGTGATCTGAGCACCTGGGGCAGGGGCTCAGTAAATATTTACTGGCTAGATGAATGAATGAATGAATGAGCAAAGATAATAATGAAATTATCAGCATAGTGTAAGATCAGCCATGCTTTGTTGAATGAATGGATGCATGATTAAACAAAAAAAGCAAAGACAATGAAATTAGATAATAGTGGGCATAGCTGTAAGACCAGCCTAACTGAACTGTGGAAATTGGGGAGTTGTGGGAAATAAGATAGAGATGGAGCCGACTGTGGGAGAGCTTTTGAGACAGTAGAATCTTCTGGGAGGAGCATGGAGTCTGGATCCAGAGGGACAGGATTGCATTTGGACTCCATCACCACATCTTGACCATGTGACTTTGAGTGAGTTACTTAATCTCTCTATGCATTGGTTTCCTCGTCCAAAAAATATAGGAATAAGATTGCTATCTGCTTTATAGTGTCATTTTGAAGATGAACTAAGAAACCTATGGAATATAAGCATGGTGCCTGGCCCATTGTAAATGCCTTAAACTTAGTTTTTATTATTAGCATTAGTTTACTATTAGTATTAGTATTAAAGACTGAGCAGATGAGAATATATTCAATATGAAAACTTAGGGAACCACTGAAGTTCCTTGAAGTGGGAAATGAGAATGGAATGCAGTGTTTGGGAAGAATCACTTGGCAGCTGTATTCAGGCTGGGTCAGAAGGCAATGGTGTAGCCCCAAAGGGTGAAGAAGGGCTGACCAGGGACTAGAAGCAGACCCTCCTGAAAATGAGAAAGCCTGTCCACTTGCTGGTACATGGCATGCACAGGCCCTCAGTAACCCTATCGAATGAAAGTCTACTGCACCAATTGAATAATATAATTGTGGAGCTCCCAGGTTCAATCGCAAATACTATCAGAATTCTTCCTCAGTCAAGTACAGAGAGATTTAAAGCATTGGAGAAGTTCACTAAGACTTGGCCTCTGGTTCATTTCAATTTCTCCTCCCCCAAGTAGCTGGGACTACAAGTGCACACCACCATGCCCAGCTAATTTGTGTGTGTGGAGGGGGTGTTTTTTTTTCTTTTTTTTTCTTTTTTTTTGTAGAGACAGGTTTCACCATGTTGCCCAGGCTTGTCTTGAACTCCTGGGCTCAAGTGATTTACCCACCTCAGCCTCTCAAAGTGCTGGGATTACAGGCATGAACCACTGCACCTGGCCCTTCTGGCTCTTCTTTGTCTGATCTATGTTTTCAGATTCCAATTTGCTAGTCAGGAATTTCTCCACTGCAAGTTCTGAAGCACTATTCAAATCAGCTTATAGAAAGAGGGAGAGATAATGTATTGGCTCATGAAGCCAAAAATTCAGGGATGAATCTGATTTTCAGGTATAGCTGGATCCAGGCATTCAAACACTGTCACCGGGATTCTCCCCTCTTTCTCTCTTTCTCAGCTCTTTTCTTTGCATGTCTTCATTCTCAGATAATCCCTCTGATGGTGTCAGAATTTCATTCTCACCATGAAAAGTCTCAGCAGACAAAAGGCTTTCTCTTTCCTAATAATACTAAGAAAAGCTCTAGAATGGAGCTTAGTTTTTATTTTTTAAATTTTTATTTATTTATTTATTTGAGACAGAGTCACG